GGGCCATTGTACTCCCCTAAACCCTACTATACCTCGAAGACCTCAACCATAAACCCTGCTTTCCCATGGGAAGTAGTTATGAATGCACCGATATGCCCATGGAACTTGAAACGCATCTCTGGGTCCAAGCGCCCGTACAGCAGAACTCCTGCACCCAAAAACCGAGAACTCAAGATAGGGTTCAGTGTTTTAGGAGTAATGCCCTCATCTAATATGGGCGCCATCATAATTTGAATGGGGTTTTTGGGGTATATTATACTATGATCATCATAAGGAACCCCCATAACAGTGATGGTAATTATTGAGGCCCCTAGAGTCTTTCCCCCAAAAAAGGCCCAAAAGACTTGACCTAACATGGGGGGCCTGGCTTTTGTAGTCATGCTCCAAGTCTCGGGGTTTCGTTAAGAACTAGAAATGTGGGTAGTTGTCAAAATTAGGGTCCCTTTTTGAGTACCCTACACATTAGGTGCCGTATTATAATAGGGATCCAAAAAGGGACCATAGTTTTGACAACCACCCATGTGGAAAGTCCACACAAATTTCATTCGCATGTGTAGAAATGTTTTCCTACATGTGCAAACACATATAAGCAGAAGTACAGATAGACTTGAGCACCATATGTATGCATGAACCCGCAAACACACAGACACACACACACACAGTACTCAAACGAATGCCAAGACAAATGCGCACATGCAGGTGTGCATGTGTCACAAGTGCATCAATAAACCGAGACAACACCATGAAGGATTTCTTCTAAGCACACACGGCCCCAAACTTTCCAACACCTGACCCTGACTGAGCTCTCAACCGAGTGAAACGCGGGGAGGCCTGGACGTCTGAAATAGCTCAAAGGGCTTCCGTAGGTGCGACCCTCAGACCCCTGTTGCCAGGGCTCCTTCAAGGGGTTCCTTTAAGGTTTGGAGGCCCTAAATCAGAATTATCGGATCTCATGAGTTCTCGAAAGGTTAAATCGGTCGTGGATCTAGGGGTTTCTATCTGAACCCTAAACCCTAAACTCTAAACCCTAACCCCTTCAGAGTTCTTGCAAGCTTCGCAGCGGAGAGCATCGAAGCTTTGGGATTGGGGCTTTGGCTCTGCATCGTTAGATGTTCCGCCTGTCTTTAACCAAATAAAACACTTTGAGCATGAGGAACCCTACGTAATAATATTACTAACCAAGGAGGCTTATGATGAGTCCATCTGCGTGTTGGCATGCAGCAAAAGTCAGGTCTGCAGCAGTTGTCCCCAATCTCCTGATGAGCCTACGCCACACACAGCCCCCTAGGCCCTAAACTCTAAACCCCTGAACTTCAAACCCCAGACACCCCGAAGGTGACCATGCTAATACAAAGACAGCGGCAACTCGAGGATTCGGGGTTCTCCGGCGTTCCGGGTCCACTTCGACATACTGGCCCGGACTTTAGCCGGCTTGCTTGAGCTGAAGCCCTACAATCTAACAGCCCTAAAGCCTCAACCTCGAACCCTAAAGCCGAAACACTAGAATCGAAGATTCCGACACTACATACAATGCACTAAATCAAACCATAAGGGCTCCTTTAAGGGTTCCTTTAGTTCCTTCAGGGGATATCAGGAACGATCTCACGGCAACACCTACGACCTCGCCTGCGCCTAGAAATCTGTCTCGGAAGAATGCAAGATGCCCTAAACCCATCAACATACAGGACGGGCCTTAATAATTAGAATAGGGTTTCGGGGTATACTATACTGTACATTTACAAACAGGAACCCCCAAAACGGTATATGTAATTATGCAGGCCCCCGTATTGCAGCTGAGAATAGACGCCTGGTGCTGGCAATTTGCGGAAACTAGGGGCGCTATCAACATGGACCCACACGCCAAAGTATGTACCGAAATCCCCAGGCAAGCGGGCAAAAGGCAACCTTCCGCCTCCACATTTCTCATTTCTCTTTTTCTTTGTCCTTTTCCTTCGCCTGCATAGGCATAAGCCCTAGGCACTAACCTCAAACCACCCTAGGCCCTAAATCTTAAACCCTAAAAAACCTCTGACGAACTAGTTGAAACCCTAAACGCCGAAACGAGAGCGATCGGGAACAGTTGGCTCTGTCCTGGGACATGCCAGGTCAGAGCCGAACACCCCCTTGACAAAGCTCCAAGGGTGAAAGGAGGGACCCTTAATAAGGACCCCTATGTATATACCCTTAATAGCTATTATATACCCATTATATCGCCCATTATAGGCAGGGGTCCCCATAAAGGGTCCCTCCTTTTCCCCTTTGAAAAGCAGAGCATACCTTCAACTGGAGAGGGATCCTCGATATGATGTAAACTATACTGAGCTTAGAACCCTAGCAAAAATTGTAATTTTAGCTGTTTCTTAGGGATTATAATAACCAAAAATTTAAAAATATTTCTAAGTACCCCTAAGCTCCAACTGGAGAGGGATCCTCGATATGATGTAAAGTACGTCGCGACCCTAAACTCAAAGTGCTGAACTCTGACACCTACGGTAGAAGCTAAAAAGTTGGAACATCATTAGCCTCATGCCCTTAGAGGAAAGTATAGGGAATCCCAGCATGAATCTCTGGGGTTCACCATAAGCCCTTGACACGGGATGTTCGGTCCTTGTCTTTGGCCTTCTTGTCCTTCAAACAGCTGTCGACTCACAGAAAAGCATTCCCAAAACTCCATCCTACCACTATGACTGACACAATGCGTAGTGAGAGCATTTTCAAGTCTGCAGCTTTTGAAATCCTGGATAGGACTTAGATCAGCCATTCCGTCGTTTCTAAGTCTTGCATGCAATTAGCGTACTTGGACCTATGCTACAAACCACGCTATGTACGTATGAGCAACTTTCTGTGCGCCTCCCCAACCACTGCCCTCTCAGCCTGAGTCGAGCCGGCCGAAGCTCCATCCGAGATGGGATTGGCATTCAAGGCAATCCGGATAATGGAGGGCCTTCATAGTTAGACTAAGGTTTTGGGGCCCGTTATACTGTATTCATGATAATGCCCCCAAATGGTATAGGAAATTCTTCACACTAAGTAGAAACTCGCCTCAAGAAGCCCCCCGGCCACAGCTCAGGTGCCCTTACATTTGCTCGGCAGCAGGTCCTTTTCTCTCTCTTTCTCCTTCTCCTTTGGCCGGTCGGTCTCCTTCGGCTTTTCCTTATCCTTTTTACCTTTCTCTTTCTCCTTCTCCCTTTTGTCCTTGTGCTGCACAGATGCACCCACTGACTGCATGCTCTTGGTTGGACTTCCGCTGAAGCGAAGCAGGCTTCTGTTTACGGGGAAATAAGGATTACTGTGGCCAACCCGGAAATCAAACCCAATCAACATCGCACATCTCAACACCTTTGGATGTGGAACCGACAGAAACCGCACAAAAGGAGCAAAGCAGCCTAAACTCTAGTATAAACCCTAAACCCCATAAACCGTAACTGAACCCAGTCCTTGCCCTTGTCTTTAGCCTTTTGCCGGGAACTGCTGGAGTCACTGCTGGCCCTCTTCTTCCTCGCCGCCTGCAGCGCCGACTCTGTGGGGCTCTTTAGGGGATTCGGGTTTCGGGCTAAGAGCGTTTGGTAGGAGGGTTTAAGCGGTCTAGAGTTTAGGGTTCAGGGTTCAGGATGTAGGGTTTAGGGTTTAAGGCTCGGCCGACACCCCCAAACCCAGACCCTAAGCCCTGAATTCCATGTCACGACTGCAGACAAGCGGTTTATCCCTCTTCTCCAGGTTGAGAATTCGCTGCGAGTCCATATGGAAGTTTCCGAAAATAGGGGGCCCTAATATAGTACCCTAAATAGCAGGATCCTTATTATAAGGTCCCCAAAATAAGGTACCCTAATTTTTCGGAAAATCCCATATAACCCCCAACCAAAGGGGCTAGGTGTAGGGGTTTGAGTTTGGAATATGGAGCATGGCGATGGAGCAACTCCGAATCCGAACCTCCAAAGACTCATAAGCGAATACTCCTCCAAGTGCAATCGGGCTCTTAGTCAGTCAGGAAGGAACCCTTGGGTTTAGGGTTTAGGGCTTGTCTCAAGGATACTGGACTCTGGAATAGTGCCCCCGTTTCAACCTATAGATAGCTAGAAGAAAGAAACGAAGCAACGTGGAAATACTGTGCATGCCCTACATGCTGAATTTTTTCCGCTTGACACCAAACCTATACATGAATCTGCACGAGAAACAGCCTCCCTCAATCACTGAGCCTCCTGAACGGCATCGGTATCAGATTATGCGTAAGAAGTTGGCTTGGAACCGTATTGGGTGTAGTAGACTGATTCTGCAAGAGGTTTGCAAGTAATTACACTTTATTGGGAGGCTTTTCGCATCATGACCCTACCCTACATCAGGACCCTTTGCTTATGCTTCCTTAGCTCCCAAGCCCTAACTATATGTTTACTTCCCTAACCCTCAACTCTAAACCCTCATCTTGACCCTACACTTGCTTCAGCGGACCCTTCTGCGGAGAACATGCTTTCCCTGAGCTTCCGCGGAGCTTGCACACAGGGTTTCTAGTGCAATCCAAACGTTTCGGCATGGAACTATTTCCGTACATTACTAGTAAACCACCGGCAACTGTGCCACGCACAGTGCTGCAAGGAGTATCCTCTCCGCTCCTAGACATGGCTCTGCACAACGCCTTTTTTGCTGTCATCGCAAATTTATTTGCGGAAGGAAATGTGAAGTTGGGATCGACAGGATTGTTGTTGGGAAACATCAAAAGACTATGGTTCATGATTAATTAGACTTGTAGTACCCTACGCCCTCATTAAACTTCCTAAACCCTAGGCCCTGGGCATTGCAGTTTGATCATCCTGGATCCCACTGGGGCGCTCCAAGAATCCCTGAAAATTCTGTGCCTGTCAGGATACGTGGGCACCCTAAAGGAAGGAGAAGATTGAAAAGTCAGAACCGGGTTCTGCTTCAAACCGATTGAAAATTGTCTATGAATAGGTTCCCTTTATAAGGAAATAAGGGGAAACTAACACTTATCCCAAAGCACAACCCAATCAGAAGTATATGAATACGTCCTCTTGCTGGTCACTATGCTCCGGCGCACCAATCTGCTCAGCCTTCGGCTGTGCAGCTTCACTGACCTCCTCCCTTGGCGACTCCAAAACTCTCTCATCCTCCTTTACGGAGTCCCAAAAAGCAGAGAAGCAAAAATTAGGACAGGGATATCCCATATAAACCCCGCTCATAATGAAGCCCATTCAGGTAGGGATACAGTAGAAGCCTAAAAGTTGGAAACCCAACAGCCTCAACCCTTAAGACTCATGTATAGGGAATCCCAGCACTATTTGGCCTTAATCCGGTTTCCAACTTTATGGGGTTTACTGTACTCCTATAAAAATGCTTATGCTTAGGTGCTTCTTTGGTCCCCTGGTCCTTGGAGACCATGGTCAGGCTGGAGCGGCTCCTCTGATCCTGGGCTCTTGTCTAGGGGTTTCATGGGGTACCAGGATAGGGATCTATAGCACATCATAAGGTTTCCTGATTTTGGTATCATAAACAGAAATCCTTAACAAGAACCTGAGTTGTTCTTTAAGTCCTTTGAAGATTATCTACTGCTATGGTTCTCTACAAAATAGTAGGGGAAATTTAAAAGGATCCCAGAGGACAACCCAGGAACCCCAGGATCACTGTCTTCAAGCAGGCCTGAGCGGGAGTGGGCAGTGGCCAAGCTCACGTTGGAGCGAGCCCTTCGAATGCGACTGGGACTCCTCGTCACCTTCTTGGCCTGGGTTCTTGTTAAGAAATCTAGGTTGGCCCTTTATATTCGTAAATAGGGTCCTACTAAGCCCAACAAGGAAAATAGAGAATATCCCAAAGGCCTAGCTAGGAACTTCATTTAAGTTACCAGAATACGGAAACCAAATTATTTACTATAGATCCCCATTATGGAAACTTAAGCTTAAACCCCTTGACAAGAGCCCAGTGGCGAGAGTCTCGGCTGCGGGAATCACTTCGAGAGCAACCATTGACCTATACTGAACTTAGAAGCCTAGCAAAATTAAATTCTAGCTGTTTCTCAGGGATTATAATAACCAAGAACTAAAAATTAATTCTAAGTACGCCTCAGTGACATGCAAGCATGGAGCAGCTTGAGATCGAACGGTGGCAAGGTGCCCAACTCTTCGGTGAGGCTCTCATGTTTCAAGTCCACCAGATGAGTGGCAGTCTCATGGATGAGGTCAGCCAACTCATGATATTCTGGAAGTTGTGCCAAATCCAGCAACCTGAATCTGGTCCCATCAGAAGATCGCAAGTTGCGCATGCCAGTACATCCAACAGACAGCACTGAACCCAAGAGGACGACCACGGCGACAAGAAGGGAGCCGACGGTCACGATGGCAGCAGAAAAGAGCATCTCTGCATCCATCTGAGGCAAATGGAGGGCTCCTCCGAGAATCAACCTTTTTCATGGTTGGGATAGCATTTAAAAATTTAACTGCTATTCCTTATTGGTGTTTAAGAACCCGAAAGAATGTAAAATGTTACCCAGACTATGAAAACATATTTAACTGGTATCCCTTATTGGGTTTTAAGTACCCTCAAAACAAATTTAGCTGTTCTTCCGTATTGCTTTAGAAATACCCGTAGAAATCTAAAATGTCACCCAAACTATGACAACAAATTCAACGGATATTCCTTATTGGGTTGTAAGTACCCGTTATAAAAAAAAAAGAAAAGCAAAAATGCTGCCCAAACTGTGGGAGTTTCCGAAAATGGGGGGACCCTAATATAGTAGCTTAAATAGTAGGATCCTTATTATAAGGATCCCAAAATAAGGTACCCCGAATTTGGGGAAACTCCCCTATGGCAAAGCGACAGGATCATGGCCCAGCCGCAGGCGGTCTCCACGGCGTTCAGGAGCGGCACTTTGAATGGCCAGGCCAAGCTCAAGAACACCTACGGTGGATGATATAAATCCTGCCATAATAAGGAAGATACCATTATTCCCATAGTTTAGGGTCCTTAAGGTAGTGCAGGATTTACATCATCAACCGTGGTTCATGGTTTAGGGTTTATAGTTTATTCCTCATTGGGTTCAAGTACCCAGAAACATGTGAAAGCTTACCTAACTATGACAGAGACACCATGTACATGATGAGAATAAAAGTCATCGAGATCACTTGGCTTGCCGGATTGTTGGTGAAGAGCGTCAAAGGGAAGGACAACAGAGCACCGCGCAAGAGGAGAGGAAGACCAAACCACCAGGCATCGAGGCGGAACTTGTCGACGAGAAACTGGGATGCAACGACGTAGTCATGGTACTTCTCCTGGGCTTTGAAGTAACCAGGGAGAAAAATTTAAAAGAAGTATAAACTTGTATTTCATAATAGTACTAGGTCCCCAAGAAAGTATTAAAGTATGGTACTCAGTACTCCAAAGCCCAGTCTCATTCATGCTGAACCGTGGCAGGGACCATAAAAGCCACACGCAAACACACCAAAAGGCGATAAGCAAAGCGCACAAGCAAGAGCCCATCACCAGCATCGCGGCATGATCGCTGGAGCCACAGATGATGCTCAGCATCTGCAGGTTGCTCTGCTCACCGTTCGGATGCCGAAAGCACATGAAGGGCACCAGGGCGAGATTGCTCACTGCACCGAAGCAGGCCATCACAATCTGCCCCAAAGAAGACATCAGCTGCGTGCCCGTGCGGACACGACCAAGCAAGCACAAAATCCGATTGCAGCAGACCAGCCAGAGAAGCGCACCAGGAAACAAGCTCACTTGGAAAGTGAACTGCGCCAATGGAGCCGGGCCCGCAATGCAGCTGATGCCGAGGTCAGTAGCTTCAAAAGCGAAAACCTCTGGGCTGTCTTTGAAAATTATTTACTACTAGGGTTCTCTACAAAATAGTAGGGGAAATTAAAAAAGATCCCAAAAGACAACTCAGACCTCCATGACAGAGAAGATGTCGAGTAGTAGCTGAGGCCACTCCAGGGTCATTTGCCCAGCGATGGCCAAGGTCTGAAGGAAGTTGCCTGCAACCTCGAAAAGCATCAGAAAGGTGAAAACGAGCATGCCGTTCACTCCCATCTGATAGTCCAACTTGAAGCCATGAGCCAGGAGAATGGCCAAACACACGCATGCGAGCACCACGCCCCAAGCGACCCTGATCCATGGCTGGCAAGGTAAGCATTCGTCTCCGTTCCACCGCTGCTCCTCCTCGCACTCGAAGCAGGCAATGCCGGTGCTGTTGCCCTTGCAGGTGCCTGGCTTACCACCAGGGCACGCTTCCGAGTTGACGCATTGGTAGACGTCCAGACCTGCCGCTGCAAGACTCATGTACCCTTCCTTGATCTTCGGGATGAACTCCTCTCCCAAGTCTGATTCTCCGTTGAAAAAGGAGTGCACGCTCGACAATCGAGGGCAGTCCAAGCCAGCTTGGCATGCCTCGCACTGTGCTGGGGGGGCTGAGGCGATGTTGATATACCCAGCATTGCATCCACATTCCTCAACTGACAGCGAGCCTAGGCCAACGGTCGTCGTATCGTTCATGCAACTCTTGCAAGCTGTGGCGCCCAGCTCATCCTGATAGCTCCCAACCCCACAGCGCTTGCAAGCCTTGCTTCCGGCCATGTCTTGGTATTCTCCTAAGCCACACGGCGTGCATGAGATCGCAGCCCCTGATGGTTGGCTCGTCCCTGGAGGGCACAAGGTGCACACATGAGTGTAGCCACGGTCGTCGAACTGCTGCACCGATGACTGGCCGGACTCGCATGCCTTGCACACCACTCCCTGCACGGATTCCCCACGCATCTGAATGTAGTCCCCATGAACAGTATCGTAAAGCCCAAAACCGGGAATGCATTGCGTCTCATCTGGAATCCACGACGTCCAGTGTTGGCGATTATTCAAAAGCCACTGGCAAAGTGCCTCGTCTGAAACGCCTTCAATGTTAAGGAAATCAAAAAGAGCTTCGATCACTGCACTGTGCATTTCCAGGCGGGTGATGAAGTCCACAATGCTGGGTGCCAGAACTGCCAGGTCTCTTGAGATCCACTTCGCACTGAGAAATCCACTGTTAAGCGTTCTGAAATCTTCACTTTGATAAGCTACGTCGTCATAGGCTGGGAACCTGTGCTTTTAAGTAACCAGGGAGAAAACGGTATAAACTCTTGATTCATAATGGTTTAAAAAAGTGAGGTATTAAAGTATGGTACTCCAACTCACCAGTTGTTTTGGGGTTCCCTTGGCTCTTTAGCTCCTTATTTAGGAGGGACTATCCTCATCCCTGGCTCCTTAGCTCCTCCAAAATCAATGGTTAGCCAAAGCCCCCTTATAAACCCAAATAAGAAAAATAAAAAATGTCCCAAAACCCAACCTAGTAAAGTATGGTACTCCAAAGCCCAGGAGCACTACCGGGACGGGGCGAGCGGCACGCAATTCCAGGTCAGGTCGGTTTAACCAGAAGAGCACACGACGCTCGAGCACCTTACTCCCCCCCACGAAAAAACCACAGAAATGAGAGGTTAAACTTTCCGACTCCTATTAAACTATAAGAGCCCAAAAAGTGTAAACGTTGGGTATTATGGGGATCTAAGGCACGACGGACCTGTCAAACTCCGGGCGCGCTTTGGCTATGGCGAGGGGCATGTCGAAAGCGGCGCTTTTCTGGAGAATTTGCTGCATGTCCGAGCCCGAGAATGATTCGCGGGACATAGCAGGGACACATTTCGATGGATTCGCCCTGCAGGTTGGAGATAGAAACCAGTGGCCATCTGGACATATACCGGTGCCGTTTGGGTGCAGGCCGTCCAGATCTCCGGTGATTCTCACATATGTAGCCATGAATGTAGGATCTCCAAGCCAGACCTCGTCGCATCGTAGGAGCTGCGATGTTGGAATGGATGTGAAATTGTCAAAATACTTGGACCTAGGATGCCCAGTAACCTAGGCATTAAAGGGGCTCCCTTTTTGTCTTGGGTACCTTTGTAAGGAACCTAGGACTACAAAAAGGGAATAAGGGTACCACTGGGCATCCTAGGCACACATCCCACCAGGATGCGTTCCAGTTCGAGTAATACTGAAGCGAAAGGCCCTCTTCCTGAAGGGCATGCTGCGCCACTTCCTCAGTCATGTGCAACGTGGCAATCGCCTCATACCCTATTCCAGTCCCAACTTTTTCTGGCTTCTTCGACTTGAACACCGTTTTTGCGTCCCAATGACGCTCGGAAATTGGTATCAGTGCGATGTGGTACTGGTTGGGACCACCATTGCAGCCTGTTCTGCTCTGTGGTTGGTCACAGCCAGCCAAGTAGTACAAAGCTCTTTCCCCGCCAGAGCGTGGGTTAATGTGCACCTAGGCGGGGCTTTTAAAGCCTTTGAAAAATGTTAGTAGGTAAGATCCTCTTAAGCCCAATAAGAGAAAATATAAAATGTCCCAAAGCCCTACCTAGGCACATTAAAACCCAAGGCATCCTGAATCAGCATGCCGGCAATGCGAGTGACAATTTCCGAGATCTCATTGAAGCCGTGATTCATTCCCACCGGCAGCGACCCGCCTGAGGAATTTGTCAGGTTGCGCCTTTCTTCCACCGGCCGAGCTTCCGGCAAGCAAGTGCCCTGAACTCTGCAGAAGAACACGAGCCAGGGCCCCAGCCAGAGAGGCACAACGCGAGCATTGCAAAGGCTCGCCATCTAAACCCTAAAACCCAAAAGATCGATTCTTACTTGCTGGCCTCCGTGACGCTGAACCCGTTTGGCAATTTGGGCATATAAACTGTTCACCGGTACACAGCTGAGGCTGCCAATGGCTGCAGACAGCGCTACACGTGTCAGGCTGCCAATCCATGCCTGTCACACTTTGCAAGGGCTGAAGGCTTGATGAGCCTTGCGATTCTGAAATTGTACACCTCATCAATGCGATTCCTGGTTTGATGCTGGGCCATCAAGTTGTTACGACTCATTGATTCAACCGAGGACAATCGTCTGGTTGATGTGTGTTGAAACTGCAAAGGTACTGTTCTAGAGCAGCAGTAGCCGACGACCTTTTAAGACCTTTTGAGAGCGATGTTTGTGTGGACGTCTGAAGCAAAGCTGGACATCATTGACGCAGGGACATTGACCGTGAACCCACGCTGGAAGAAATCGAAGTCGAGCAATTCTCTTGTTAACTGCTGCCGGAGTACTGGCACGTGGTAGCTATACGTGCTGTACGGAAGCAGAGTATTCCATGCTGCGTCTTGCATGCTTTTTTCGCACTGTGAATGGCCTTGCACGTTGGATCCAACTTTCACCAAGAATCGAAATCATAGACAAGGAGACTGAAGCAGCACGAAGCCTTGCTGCTCTTGCTGCGCTTCCGTCGGCTTCGGCTGCGGCTGCTGCTGGTACTGCTCCTGGCGGGGCAGCACTCAGGACAACTTAGCTGCCTTTCGACCTGAGCCCTTTTGGCCACTGGACTCAAGACTAGCCAGACCGCGCGACCTGCAATCGACCTGAGGCCTACAACCCAAACGTATTTCGTCATGCAAGACTTTTTTCGGACGTCATGGTGACCCTGTGCAGACCACGCTATTCCTCTTTCTGTTTTTTTTGCTTCGGGGCTCCGTTGGATTTGCCCGGCGCATAGCCACTATGCGGCCATGCTGGTGATTTCCTTGAAAGAAGCTCTAAACCCTAAACCGTCGCTGTCGCCACGTTCCGATGTGGTGTGGGCTTAGGGCTTCGAGTCGCAGACTTGCGATTTGGGTTCGAAGCCGGAGGTCCTCAGTTGATATCCTACTATTTGCTTAAGAACCCCTAAAAAACAAAAAAAATGTATTCCTTATGGGGGTAATATAGGGATTATTATTGTTATTTTTTGGTGGTTTCTTAAGCAAATAGTAGTATCAAGGGTTGAAGCCATGGGCCCCTAGTACGGGCCCTTAACCCGGGGATCCCTAAATACCTACTATATCCCCTTTGTAGACTCTTAAGGGTCCCTAGAGCTCCTTCGAAAAGGCCTAAAACCTTAGATGATAGCTGAAGACCCACAGACGCCACCAAGCAAAAAGCGCGCCTTTGCCAAGGAACTTAAGAGAAGCAGCTTCTGCGCTATAGCCGCTTCTATATATGACACCCAGCGATAACACATGGAAAAGAGCTGACAACACACTCAAATTATGCAAGCTTCTTGACGTGAAATAACAAAAACCTCCCCCAGTGAAGCCACTTATGGGTACCCTTAAAGGGAACCCTTATAGATCCCTTAAAGAGGGCCCTTGCTGGGACCCTCAAAGTCCCTGCTTGAAGGATCCGGGGACTAAGTTGGGTTATACTTAAGGTAATTAAGGTTCCTTAAAGGGATCGGGTTCCTTACAGGGATCTACAGGGTTTAGGGTTTAGGGTCTACTTGGGAGGGTCAGGGGACTTAGTAAGTTAGGTTACAAGTACCTTAGTTGGGGTCATAAGCAGTATAAGTATGGTTACCTTAATTATAACCTTAGTTACTAAGTCCCATGATCCTTCAAGTAGCCCCGATGCCTCCGCCGCCGTTTTCGGTTTCGGCTTCGGCTGCGGCTGCTGCTTGGGCTCCTTGAGCATTCAAGGCTTTGGGGTTTGAAGGTTTACATAATGTCGTTTAGGGTTTGAGGTTTTTGTGAGGGTTTCGGATTTTTGGTTTTGAAGGTTTAGGGTTTTGGGTTTTTTGTTTAAGGGTTTTTTTACACATGTTAGACCCAACCCTCCCACTGAGTCTCCTCTGATGTGAGGCATGCCGTGAAACTTAAGGGTTTAGGGGTTTTGGCTTTTGGTGAGAGTTTAGGGTTTAAGGGAAGAGGGTGTTTTTGAGTTTAGGATTTTTAATGAAGGTTTAGGGTTTTTCCAAGGTGTAAGGTTATTCAGAGTCTAGGGTTTTGTATGAAGGTTTAAGATGTACTTTTAAGGAATAGGGTTTTTTTTGCTGTTTAAGGGTTTACGGGTTTTGGTGGTTTAGGGTTTTTCTGTTTGTTTAGGGTTTAGGGTTTGTTTACGGTGTAAGGCATTTTTAGAGTTTAGGGTTTAGCTTTTCGGGTTTAGGGTTCGGGTGGGGGCTTCTAAGGGTTTAATATATAAGGGCTTCGAAGGATGATACTAGCTTTTACACAATTTTGGAAGGCTTTAGAAGTGTACTGGCCCTAAAGAGATACCGCTTATACTAAATATCCCTTCCGCCTACACAAGCCGTTATCCGTGTATTACCTAAGTCCGTAGGGTTTCACGGGCTCCATCGAGTTTTGCTCGGGGGGATCACCATTTAATGGTCTCCTATGTCTCCTGCGGTGATTCACGGTTACACGTGGAGCGTCGGGGGACACAGTAAGTGGCTGTTAAACGGTATGGACTGTTTAAGGATGAGGGCCGACGTGTAGATCTGCAAACCTTCAACTCTACTTGAAGGATCATGGGACTTTTGGCAGCACAATCACTCTGAGGGCCAAGCCTGCGCATGTCCACACCCCACTCAGTCGTCTGATTGCCCACTTCACAAGGATCATGGGACTTAGTAACTAGGGTTATAATTGAGGTAACTGTACTTACATTTACTTGTAACCCCAATTAAGGTACTTATAGCTAACATACTAAGTCCCCTGATCCTCCAAGTAAACCCTGAACCCTCAACCCCAAGCCCTATACCCTCACACGCCTGAGGAAGACCCTTCTAACCCAGACCCCTTAAATAAAGAAGCATACATGAGCATACCTTTACATACCTTTACTCATAATTCATACTGGAAATCTTCGAAACCCTACACCCTAAAACTTAAATACACAACTTCTAGACCCTGCAAGCCCTAAAACCCCTGCGAAGCCCCCTAGAGCCCTATGATAGGCATCCTTGATGACACACCCTTTGGCATCCTACGGTTAATGATATAAATCCTGCATTACCTTAAGGGCCCTACACTATGGGAATTATGGGCATATTCCTTATTATGGGTAATGCAGGATTTACATCATCAACCGTATTCTAAAGCAGCTGGGGCGCTTCTTCCGACTGGTACTCTTCTTGCCGGCCGTTGCCTTCGCGCTGCTGGGAGCGGTGGTGGCCTTCTTCTCACTCTTCGGCGGCACCCCGAGTACCTGCGAAGGCTTGGGAGCTTGCGGGCCTTTTTTTTATTACGCAAAAGCCTCTTGCCGGTATAGGGTGTAGGGATTTAGGTTATCCAGGATCCTTCAAAAAGCGCGTAGGGCAGTTGAGAGTTTTGGGCCGGGGGGGTGAAGTTTCGGCTTATACTGCAGAGTGCGCACTCAGGGATCTCAGAAATGAGCACCTCCTACAGAACGCCTTTGTAACCTCATCAATAGCCTCAGCTAAGGTACTTATTGTCCCTGGAGGAGGTGGAAGGTTCGGACAGCTTGGAATCTTGGGTTTTGCATAGCCCAATACAGCCAAGACTGGTCAAGCAATCGCGGCTGGGGAGTTGTCGCCCAACTGCGAAATGCTAAAGCCCTCAGCGTCGGACCGTAATATGGCTAGGCTGGCTAGGCCCAGAAAGCTTTTCAGGGTTAAGTGTAGCGGCCTCAAATACCCACAAAGTGCGCTATGTCGCATCTCGGCCCCGAAATGTCCTAAAACCCGAACATAGGGCCTGAGTGGTTGAGTTTAAGTCTAGTAAACTATATATAGTGACCATAAGGGGCTGGGGTTGCCAACCCGATTGAAACTGCGCTTACCCTAGCCCTAAACCCGAAACCCCCTAAACCCGAAACCCCAAATTAAACAATTTTTTTCAGCAGGGACTGCAATGCACCAAGCCCTGAATCCCTTCAGCCAAGCACCAAATGTCAGCACTTATGGCTGAGCACGTGAAGCGTGTTGCACTGTCTGCAACCACTGATCTGGGACTACTTGAAAAGACACGATCTTCACTCGATCTCGATAAGCATGACGACTACAATCATACATCTCACATGAATATCGAGGAGATCACCTGGAAGTAGAAATTGAAACGACAACCAACTGCCACAGAATTGCACATACCCGAGTATTCCCAAAATGTGCGCACGCCAGGTGTGTTCAGAATAGTAACGACTGTAATACCTCCATCCATGCTCCCTGTCCAGCCAAGTAGCTACTATATACTCACCTACAAGACAAAGGTAAATGCAAATTGCCCAAGATGTACAATGAATGAGTGGATGCTTCCAAACGGTCCATTCTGTACTTCTAGCAGCTATCTTTGGTGAATGCCAATACAGCTGAACAACCGTATCTTGAAGGTTACGCCATCGCACTCTGTCGGTAGCTAGCGTTTGAAGGAAGGGCCAATCTGGTGAAGCATCCATTTGCAGAATATCCTTGACCACCTTCAGAGCCCAGGCAATTTCTTGGTCCACTTCTAACCTGCCTCCAAGATCCAACTATAACCTGCTGTAAGGCAATACTTGACAGTGAGCTGGAACTCATACACAAGATGTGACCTAAATAGTGCCACTTACGTCGTATCCATGCTTGTATACCCTGAAACACTCATTCTCAGACATCTGTAGTACCAGGGGCACCCTGCTCTTCTCGGCAGCCATGAGCCTCCGAACGGTGGCTTCGTCCATGAGCTCCTGTCCAGCGTGGGTTGCCCTGTTCAGGAAACTAAACAGAGCCCCGATACTTAGGCCTTTGACAGGAATCCTTCAAAGAGGGTCCCATACTCGATCCGTCCTCTCTGTCTTGGGCATTTTTGTAAAGTACGCACCCAATCGGGGTTCCCCCACAAGAAGTCGTAGAACAAATCCCCAGGAAGCGACCCCAATTCATTCACTAGGGGCCTTCATGTTTGACACAGGGGTTTTGTGGGGTTCGCTACTGTTTCAAGTATAAGTTGAAACAGAAACTCAGGATTTATGGGCAGTCAATTATCATTTAGGGCCTTTTAGAGCCCATGACAGATATCTGCATGCCTGATGAGGGCAACACGAATGACAAGAGTCGTACGGACCATGGTCATACGGACAAGAGTAAGCAGCATATCTTTGAGTGTGATAAAACACAAACGCTGCGAGGCAGTCTTAGCAGCTAGCAGCAAATGGCACACAAACAACCAAAGTGCAAACCACCACCACTCGAGCATTCGAGCATTCGCCATCACCCCAAACCAGCAAGATCATCCTGGCCATCTTCGAGAAAATCATCATCTTCGACACACTCGGCAACGAGATCGTCACCATGATAGATAAATACTCGTCATAACAGAAACGGAGCTCAGCGACAGTACCATCCCGCGCCTCCTTCCCACCATCGTTTGAGGCAAATCGGCTGTTGAGGTCGGCGTCCGTGTAGCCCAGGACGCGGACATGCCGCTTCTTATCCTGTAATTAACAAACCTAGGTGGGGCTTTTAATGCCTTTGAAAAATATTAGTAAATAAGATCCTCTTAAGTCCAATAAGGGAAAATATAAAATGTCCCAAAGCCCTACCTAGAAAAAGGTCTGGACATTCATTCCTACCCATTGCTATTCCTGACAAGGTTTTCCGCGGATAGTCCTAGTGCTATGCAAACCAAAATCTTGCTGACTGCCCAGGCCCTATATTGCTATATGGGTGGTTGTCCAAATCAGGGTCCCCTTTTGGGAAAACTAAATAATAGGTGCCGCATTACAGTAGGGACCCAAAAAGGACCCTAACTCTGACAACCGCCCATATGGGAGTTTCAGAAAACAGGGGACCCTAATATTGTACCCTAAATAGTAAGATCCTTACTATAAGGACCCCAAAATAAGGTACCTCTAATTTTCGTAAACTCCCATATGGGATCGTTTCGGCCTTGAGGGACTGGGGCAAGCTCGGGGCCTGGGTGTCACACTGTTTTGGGGAGGGATCTCTATCGTCTTCGGTTATGTTTTAAGGTTACGGGTTCAGGGTTTAGGGGTTTAGGGCTTAAGGAATAGATTTGGGAATATGTGTTGGCATCTGCTGATATATATATATATATATATATATATATATGTATATATGTATATATGTATATATGTGTATATGTATATGTATATGTATATGTATATGTTTATGTATATGTATATGTATATGTATATGTATATGTATATGTATATATATATATATACATAATCCATCAGGGACATGCAGAATCAGAAGGAGATTTCCTGCCAACCCCAACCGTCAAACGAACCCACGGTCCGAATTCCTCAACCGTCAGCTTCATGGAGGCGGGTTTCAATGTATTGGGATTTGGGAGTTTCCGAAAAAAGGGTACCCTAATATAGTACCCTAAATAGTAGGACCCTTATTATTATTATTATTACAAGGACCCCAAAATAAGGAACCCCCCAATTTTCGGAAACTCCCATTTAAAGTCTTAGGGTTTCGGGTCTAGGAGTTAAGGGTCTCGGCACCCGCTCTCGGACAATCCAGGCGAGAGAAAAGAAGACCCCCCATCTTGTCTTATGGAGCGTTGACGTCCAGAAATACCGTAACAACCAAATCAAGCGTTTGGGGGTTTCAGAATTAGTACCTGAAAACAAAAGCATTTTAGGAGCAGTACAAAACCCCTTCAAACCTGCAAATCCCTGATACCACTCCATCACGCCACCCGCAAGCCTACCTGAACCTCAAAAAGCCAACCTTTTGAAGGACTCTAACTAGGTTATGTATGTAAACCATACGGAGCAACTACCCCAACAAATGTAGTTTTTCTACGGTCAGGTAAAGCCGATGTCGGAAGCTATTCGGTGTTAACTTGAGATGCCCTGTCTCCTGCCAGGTGCTTCAGAAATAACAGCTCGACTTTCAGAAACGGAAGAACCATAACAAAACAAGAGCTAGTGGTGGTGCACAAAAAACTCCACATGGAGTGCTCTCTCGGGGGGTACCTTATGATCTATGTTAAGGTCTTGTGGCAGGGATGGATCCCCAATTGTGGGGCCGGCAAACCAAAGGCCAAAAAATGCAGCCTCCTGACCCGAACTCCAGCTGCAAACTCCGATGCTTGAAATCGAAGTTCTCTACTTGAAGGATCAGGGGACTTAGTAAGTTAGGTTATAAGTACATTAATTGGGGTTATAAGTATTGCTACCTTAATTATAACCCTAGTTACTAAGTCCCCTGATCCTCCAAGTATGCCAGGGGCCTATGACGGCAGTGTCGCCGCCTTTTAGAAACTAGTCAAATCCCGAACCCTTTGCCCTGGAACCCCGAAAGAGCCCCACGCGGCACTCAGTGTTCTGATCGCTGCCAGGCGTCCACCACACCATCCACACCTGGCCGGCTTGAGATACGTTTGGTTTGGGGTTCAGGGTTATGCCTGAAGAGTGGGCCCTCTATTAAGGGTCCAGTGTTAAGATCAAGCTATACGGTTTGAGGGCTTGTGAATCAGGCCTCGCACGATCTCTGAAAGCCCTTTTTGCCACTGGACTCAAGTCTAGCCAGTCTACGGCCCACAATCATCTTGACCGAGGTCGACATGCAGCACCGAAAGCCCTAGATTCAGAACCTCCTCAAAGGGCAAGAATAAAACGAATTCTTGTGACTGCTCTTGATGATGTAAGGATGAAATGCGCACACATGTTTCTAAACCCCAACCCTTCCTCCCTGCAAAGCGCGCCTGGACCAGTATTGCCCTGCACTGGCTCGCGGCTGTAGATGCAGTGACCAATGTTGTAGCCCTTCCGGAGGCTCTCCAACCTCGTCTCAGGAAAAAAACTGGGCGATTTATGAAGACGGATAGGGCCTTTGTGCGTATTTCAACAATTCCATAATCAGGAGCCCGATAAGAAACAAAACTCGTAACATCTACGCAGCAATGGTCTTTGGGTTATTCATCGTTAATAACGGGGACCCGAAAATATTAGTAACTCTTTCAATGCCTATTAGAATAGGGTTTGGGGGCCTATTCTACTACATTTATATACTGCATTGATAATAAGGAAACCCCAAAAAAGTATAGGTAATTGTTAGGGCCCTATAGCAACGCTTAGATTCACTCGGACTCCCCGTCGGCTCGGAAACTGATGTCACCGTGGCACGGAAAAAAGCTGTTTCTTCCTCCTACAGTAGAAGCCAGAAAGTTGGATCGTAACCCCTTTAAGGTAAATTATAGGGGATCCTACTTTCTGGAGTTCCCTTTACTTCGCAAAGACGAGGCATGCATTGCAGGGTTTAGGTTTGTTTTTACCTCTCGCATGGCTAGATACACGAAGCAAGGAGTTCACTCCAACAGCGGGGTTCAGAGCTTGGGGTTTACGATCTCGCAACTCGGACACGCCAGACGAGGTCTCTCGGTTCGCATCGACATCAGTTGTGGATCAGTCGAGTCAGCAAGGGTATGAGGCTTGGGGTCTAGGGTCGAGTTGAGGGTGTGAGATCTAAGGTTCAGGGTATGGAGGTTTAGCGTTTGGGCCGGGTTTGATGGGGCGACTCCGATTGTGGGGATCATTCATGTACGGAGGCATGGAAGATTGAGAAAAGGTCAAGGGCAAAGAACCCCGTGGCGCTCCTTTGCGTGACGACACTAAACAAATCAGAGATGAGGCACTACCTATGCACTATATACTATATATCATTGGGCCGTATGTAGTATATACTATGTACATGGATCTTAGCGGCAAGCCTCATGACGCCAAAGCCTTTTCAAGCGCAGGGTCGACATGATTTAGCGCGGTTGCATGTTGGCAATTGTAGAACTACTGTCAATTCAACTCACCAGTGGTTTTGGGGTTCCCTTGGGTCTTTAGCTCCTTATTTAGGAGGGACTATCATCATCCCTGGCTCCTTAGCTCCTCCAAAATCAATGGTTAGTCAAGATTCAGGGGTTGGGCTAGTAACGTGGAAAGTGCAAAGACACTCCGAATCGATGTAGCCCCAACCAGAACCCTAAAACCCGAGCCCCTAAACTCTAACTGGTAAACCCAATCCTCAAAGGACAATGAAGGCGTTGTAAAACTATGAGTTTTATGAGGGTTGTGTACATGCGCAGTTCTAGAGTTTTACTCTTGACAACACTCGAGAAATGTCTTCAAGTTCCAAACCACGCCCGTGAAAGGCTGCAGCTGACGCTTCGAGTGCCAAGCTCTGTCCGTGAGAGTCACGCTTCTACTGTTTGCTTAAGAACCACCAAAAAATCAAAAAAAATATTCCTTATAGTGATAATATAGGGATTATAATTTTTATTTTTTGGGGGTGTTCTTAAGCAAATAGTAGGCTTAGGAAACGCTCAGGGTTTCGGAAGCTGGGCAAACACTCATGCAACACCTTACCAGTGGTTTTGGGGGTTCCATGGCTCTTTAGCTCCTTATTTAATAGGGATTATCATCATCCCTGGCTCCTTAGCTCCTCCAATATCAATGGTTAGACACAATTATGCCGGCGTAGGTCCTCAAACAGTCCAAGACCACGCACCACGCAGACCCGGCAGCTACCAGAACACCGGAACTTTCCGACGCAAGATGGCCCCAACACTGACAAATCGCCCAGAAGGTTGAGGGTACTCTGCCGCCTTACACCCCAGACCCCCAGGTTCCGCTGAGCGTCAAAGCTGCTATAGTATTGCCATCACCCTGATTATCTTTTCACAACTACCGTAATGTAGGGGCCTTTTGGGCCACTCGCACTCGACGAATCAGGCGAGGTTTACTGCTTGTCAGCATCTCCAACGTCCTAACGCATTGGTTCGAAGAAAGCATTAACTCAATCATCAGGATACGTCATCCTCCTTGGCAATGTCTATGTGCGACTGTGGAAGCGGTCGCCACTAATGTCACTAATAGAGGGGCCGCTAACTAGAATAGGGTTGTGGGACCCATTATACTGTAATTATAATGAGGAACCCCAACTAGTATTGGTAACTAGTTAGGCCCCTTTTTTGCCATCAGCAGGATAACCGTCACAATTATCACACACATCAGCCTGCCCCTCGTCAACATCATCAGCCATCATCGATGTCATCTTCATCAACCTTCGTGATCTCTATCCTCGTGGCACAAGCAGTTCGTACTCGCAACACTCGGAACGATACGGACGAGAAGAAGCAGTTGAAGACAAACCTTGGCAGGTTCGATATGCCCCAAGCATATTACGGAAATGGACAGGATATCTCTTGCAAGGACACGCTTGGGGTTATGGGCCTGTTGAAGCCGATGAAACTACCTAATCAGTCTGGTAAGGTCGCGTTTCACATGCCAGAAGACTTGCCACAAGCTCATTCGGCAAAAGAAGCGGGAATGGCTTGAAAAATGTATACTGGATATGGCAGCACCCGAAACCTCAACAGTTCTGAACTTTCTACAACCTGCCAGGAACTCGGCAGCAATCAACGAAGTGCACCCCCGACGGTTTGCAAGAGCGGGCTTTGCGTACATAGTCCATGAGTCAAGGAAAGGATGTCCAGCTTTGCGTCAAACATGCACACAAATATTGAACCCCATATGCCCTGAAGATTGCTGGCGGTAGTGTTTTGCAGTGTAGCTCTCGGCACTAGCCTCCCTTCTTTTCTGGAACTCCCAAATAAAGCTTTTGGACAGGCATCGCGGGTTGTCGGCACAATACCAGCTTAATAAAACTATAGTTGTTGTAAACCACTGCACACACGCACTGATGATACCCGTCCAAGTGTTAAGGACTAGCGCAGCTGTACCATTGGGTATCTACGCCTTTTTACCCTCAGAGCACTTGTGCCACAATGTTGCACACCCACAACATGCTACTTCACACGTGCACAAATTACACCCCCCTCGCCGAAGCGTCAGTCTGAGGCGCAAACATGCACGGAAGCTTGGTGCTGTGCGGCCTGCCGTAAAGGCGGCTGAATTGTGGCTCGGGGCTCATAGGCTTTCTACTACCGTAAAGTGGAAGATACGGAAGCAGATTAATTCTTTTAGCGCGCGGTTTAAAGTCGCGACATGCATTATAAAATGGCGACGATCCAGCAAGCCTTGATTGATGGCGTGGATACAAGTCGCAAGAACGTGTGCAGCGTGGGACGAATACATCATCCTCTGGAGCTGCTGACTGTTCGGATTTGTCACAAAGTGACTGCCAGGAAATACAGAATGAAATTTTTCTGGTCTTAAGGAAATTCGGCCACCTCTAGGAGGGGCTGTATTTCGGAGTACCGGTTAACGTGACGGAACCACGAAATGACGATCAGGTACTTAGTACCATCCTCGGGAACCGGAGGAGCGGCCATAGGGGTGGGACCCGCGTTGATAGCCTTGGTCCCACTCCTGCTGATAGCGCTGCTGCTCAGCTCGGCGTGCATCGGCCTTTGCTTGTGCGATGCGAGAACGCTCCGCATTGCGTTGGCGTTCTTCATATGCACGGCGTGCAATTCCGACCTGTACCGCGAATTTCCCACGGAGCCACTCAGTCCAGTCCTCAGCAGAATAGCCGAGTCGTGGATCAACGTAGAGTGCCTCTTCTGAGAAAGTAACAATCATTTTCACGATTTTGTGCTGGAGGAAAACATCTACGAATTTACGCAAACTGTATGCCCCTCCCAGCCACATGATGCAAAACGGATCGTCACTCACTGCGGAGATCAGGCCTGCCCTAAGGGCGGCTGGATTGCACTCGTGCAAATAGAGCAACCGAGCAATCTCCTGGTTCCTCGGCCCTTCGGAGCTTCCACCGTAGGTGCCGACAGCTAACTGTCGTTGCTCCTTCGAACGGCCATGGTTCGGCAGTGCAGCATGCGTAAGCACGTCTTCGATGGCCAGAAACTCACGATCGTACCCATTGCCGATGGAACTCATAGTGTAGTCCACATCATTGTCGAAGCGGTGTACGATGCTTGTGTAGCCTCCTTTTGTCGCCATCTTTAACTGCTGCCTGGCCTTGTCCAACGCCTCTGCGTCAAGCGACGTAGTTCCACGCTGCGTTGAGGAGTCTCTGGTCATTTCATGGATGACCTCCTCCGGCGTCAGCTGGGAACGTGGCTTGCCCGCAGCGGCGGCGGCTGCCTCTTCAGCGAACCAGCGAGCCGAACGCGCTTTCTTGCGTGCGTTTTGCTGGGAAGGCTTCACTATGTGAACGCCACAGCTCAGGCAGATCATCTGTCCCACAAGATGCTGCGCACCGCAGTGGGGACATGCCCTGTGGCGGCCACCCGTAACGGGGGCTGGAGGGAGAGCCAACGGAGTCGATTCCGGCTGAGGCGGTGCCTGCTCGAACATCGGCTCTACTTTGGCCTCTTGTTCCTCCTTTTTCACATTGCCTTCTTCATCGTCAATCTCGATCTCGACCTCGACAGGTTCCTCTGGCTCAAGGAAACGCACTCGCTTTCTGGACTCAGTTTGCACATCTGGTGGCGATGCGCCCCCCTGATCCAATGTTGCCGTTTCCTCGGGAAGGAAGTCGGAGGCCGTGGCGTCATTGAGAGCGAGGGGTGCCAAAGATGCTGACGGTCCCCCCTCAATCTCAACTTCAACCATGGGTTCGTCTGCCGTTGCAGACGCTGCTGTTTCAACCTCTTCATGGCCACCACTAAGTGGGGCTGAAGGTTCCTCCGGAACATCGGGGAACTGCTCCGGCTCAGCTGCTCCAGGATCGACGATGGGATCCTGGGCAGTCTCCGGAATGATTGTATCCTCCTCCTCGCTGGATTGACGAGACCACAGGATGATGCCTTTGATGGTGTCGCGGATGTAGAGCACACAAGTCCCCGGCACCGGATCGCGAGTGAGTATGCC